TTTGACATCTTTAAAAGTATATTCATAATGAAAATAGTTGACAATTTTTTTTGTTCAATAGGGTATTGTCATGCAAGAAGTCAAAAAGAGTTGCTTTAATGCCCGTGTATACTCTTCATTAGCTTGCAAGTTCTATATCAAACCTACCCTGAGGAAATACCTGTTTAAAGATGAGACTCATTATTTCATACATAAATCAATTCATACTCACATTATCTTTCGGTAAAATTCGAGCAATGTTTTTATAAAAAAAAATGTCATCATCAATCCATGCCAATAAAACTAAAATAATCTTAAAAATATGTTGGAGAAAGTCACTAAAGTATTCTTCCATTTAAAAATATGTTACTTACAATAGTCGTCTGTATAATTCAATGTTTAATGCAGAACTGTGCTCTTTCCTTCAAAGTCCACAAAAAAAGACGAATTTTTTAGGCGATGAGTCATACTAACTAAAATATCATAAATTTCAGGTTACTTCAGTGAGACTAACCCACAGACTGTCTTAATTCTTAACAACACCGATTCAGTTATACGTTAGTCCAACATTAGCAAAGCTAATATACTCCTCCCTCTTAGTTGCATTCGTTCATCGTCAAGAGCAAGCCCAACAGCGGCAGTTGCAGCGACAGGATCAAGATCTATCTGTTTCTCCAACAATGCCTCCTCACTGCAATGGTACACAATTGCAAATGAGATTCAAAACCAATAACGTGGCACAATTAACATTCAACAGAAAATTTTAAAGTTAAGACAAAGAACTGAAGAAACATGAAATCAACCATTTCTCCTTTCGATGCTGCACAACATCAATAAGCATGAAATCAGACCCATTGCCATCCTAGATCATGTGAAAGCCTTGTTAGATAGATAACATACATAACCAAAATATTTAGCAAGCAGGTCAAGCATCCTAACCTAGCTTATGATTCTGGAAAATAGGAGGTTGGCAACCAGTTATGTGCAGTTAAGCAGAATTAGCACAAAACCGAAACCAATTCAATGGTTCCGAGATTAGTAGCAGCTTGCATCGCCTAATGACATGGTCATTCCTTTCGATCCTCTACTTGCTTGTCCAGTTTGTAGGTCCAATCTAGAAAACCTAAAAATTGTAGCCGGTGTTCATCAGGGCCATCCCATGATATTCGGAGGCTCTGTTCGAAAATTTAAAATGCGACTCTAAAATTTTTCTCCACAAATTTATTAAAAATAAAAATTATTAAATAATTATAAAAAATACATAGGCTCGAAAAATGATTACAAGAGGAATAAACGATCATGTTTCTAGTTTGACGAAGAAACCAAAACCAAATTCCCAGGGCTGTCTAATGCTTCGTGGAGGCCTTGTTCCAAAATCGAGACGTGGTCCAAATTGACTTTTAACTATAATAAAACTAAAATGATTGTAATATCTTTCTATATAGTTTAAAATAAAATTATCTATTATCTTTCTGATTTTCGTAGTCTCCATGAGATCATTTTTAATTGTTATTATAGTTAAAATTATCTATTAAAATCGTTATCATACTCATAATCAATCAATCATACACTAAAAATACAATCTACAATGTACGATCGGTAACTAACGGATCTAAGTGGAGACCCCTAATATTCGGAGGCCCTGTGCTGGAGGGCGTCAGGGCGGGCCAGCACATCCTCTAGGCCGGCCCTGGTGTTCATAAAAACGACTAAGCAGAATGAGCAGGTTCTTAGTAATGTATGTATTAAGCAATTATAAGAATGTAGAAGCAAGAGGAACACAGAAGCAAAAGAGACATAACCTAGTGACTTCAAAAGTAAAAGAGAAGCACTACCTAAGAGAAGAAATGACTTGACAGATATTTGCAGGCTCCTTGACTAAAACACCTGTCAATAGATGGCAAAGAGATCAAGAACCAAACCTTAACCGCTTGCAGATAATTTAAGAAATTGCTTCATATATGATCTAATTCGAATATCCATTTAAAGTTTTTGGTCTAACTATAGGCACAGACTCTTTGCTTTGGTTTGAAATACTCTGAAAAGAATGAAATACGTGGCCAATTTAATTCTTAAAGCATCTCTCGATAAAACAAAGCGACGGAGCAAGTTTTTGAGAACTATAATGTAATGTTCAAACAATTGTGTTTACTGGTAATAAGAGTACTGCAATAAATTATAATCAAATCCAAAGGTAAGATTGCAAGTATAAGAATCCAGTTAGAATCAGTTTTGAATTCTCGAGTATGTAACAGAAACTCACAGTGCCTTATCATTAGGATCATGAAATCAAATAAGAATATGGAAGGATGCTGCTCAAAATAAGTACAATATTAGAATAAACAACACCTACATGAAGAGTTCCAAAGAGATGTGGAATGGACTGGAACAGGTAATGATGTGTAGGAGAATCAAGTTTCTTGAATTTAGCAGAGCACTAAAAGCATGCTTATAATACAGGTCCCGACCTATAAAAGCATTTGATGGTAAATTTATTAGTTTCATTTGGAAGCTGAAAGGTCCAGAGATGAAAGTTGAAGCGAAAAAATCCATGAAAACCAATCATTTCGGAAAAGATTATGAAACTTTGAACGACACAGAGATTATGAAACAACTCCTCTCGGACCCCATGTTGAGCAGAAAGGATGGTGATTTTGTTTATGCAACAACTAACAAAGCAACACAAACAGGCATGTCCAAGTCCGGAGTTCAATGAAAGTTTGTTATGTTATTTCTTTTGATGGACCAAACTAAAGACTGGAAAAAGACTCAACCTTAACGATACAATGGCAAGGTTCAGAGGTCAAAATAACAACCACTAAACATTTACTTACAGTTCTTCTGTTCGTTAGAGGGAAATACAACAAAGTCTCGAACTTTGAATTGAACACATGGAGGAGGGAGATAACCTACCAGTTGGTCGATCCAAATCTTTGAGAACTCAGTTGGACATGCATGTGAGATGCAGGGCTCGACGTGAGGAACTTGTCAATGTTATCAATTAAGAAATTGCTTATTAGCAACACCTGTCCCAGAACCAAAGGAAATCATAAAGGCAGAATTAAAGGTAACAACTAAAAAGAGGTGAAGAGAAGCTTTCGTGAAAGGCGATTGTGCTAGCGACAACCTTCCTTATTTGACCCTCATGTAGCTCCTTTCACTCGGGAAGAAATGGAGCCTTTGATTCTGAATTACTTCCAAAGCTTTCAAGACCTAAGTCAGGCGGCAGTTGTGCACAAACTTGTTTGCCACTATAGTAGAAGGTTTGAACTTGCGTTACAGTGGCAAAGCTGTTTCTTTCTCTATAGTAGATGCATTTTAAAGAAACTTGATGCACTTTAATTCTGGAATCAACCCTTATCCCCACAATTCCATCGTGCAACCAAGACCCACCATTCCACTGCAAACCACTTCAAGACACAACCCACCAACAAAACTACCCACTACTGCTAATTACTGAATTTGAAGAAGACAGAAGCAAACTGAAAAGAGTTTATAAGAAAAGCTAAAAAAATGGTTCATCGAGAAGTACCGAATTTATGAGAACCCATCATTCCATTTCATCATCTCACAGAGCCTCTCGACCTTATCAGCCTTGATGATCGGATTGGCGTGGCAATTGTATTCTTCCCAGCTTTCTTGAAATCGTAGTCGCAATCGATATTCTCTAAGCAATCCGCAGAAAGAGCTGCCGCACTTGCACTTGAACCCGTCAACCAGACTCTCATGTTGTAGGTCAAGCACCTGTTCGCCGCCTTGACCACCTTTGCTGTCGTCGCATCCGACGACATGACACTGCCCCCGTTGCCGATTATCTATCAAGTGAAACCACTTGATTCGCGGCCAATGCTGCAAAGTTAATGTCGGTGGCGATTGATTCAGCTTCCAACATGGTTTTTTATGATTTAAAGGTTAGGGTTTTCCCGTGGCGGCCCTGTTCCTCGGAGACCCATATTTCCCTATACCACTTGGAGCAGAGGTTCATGTTGGATGCCGAGCCAACAAACAGCAGCTGCTCTGAATCCATCTTCTTCTTTTAAGGATTTTCATCAAACCCAGCAGAGGAGCTTCAAAGAAAGAGAAGCCAGAAAAAAGGAATCAAACACAGAAATCTTCCCCCACGATTTTCCTATCTTGAGAAGGCAACTGAGATCCAAACACGACAGGAGAGGGAGGACTTTAGACAACCACCAAACCATTGAAAACTCCAGCCCTGAAATCTTTGTTTTTGTTTGGCTCTTTTCTGCTACAACTGAAAAAATTTCATCAATCACCATCGTTGCCTCTGATTTTGCCCCGCGACTGGAGTCCAAGAGAGAGGGAGAACCACAAGGTTTGGGATATGGATGAGAGTTAGAAGATGGCAGGTTAGATAATTAGGAAGAAGGAGACAAAGAAAAGACTGATGGTATAGAGGGATGGAGGTATGTATGATTTTGTGGAAGAAAATGAGCAGTAACAGGAGAGGATAGAGTGTGGGAGTAGAAGGATTTATGAGAGTGAGGTGGTTGGCGAAAAATGAGGAAGGTGAAAGGGCTGTTGATGTTTTGCAGACTACAGTAAGGTAAGGGAGGTATGGGCGTCTGCTGCTCTGAAGGAAGGTAAGAGCCTGCAAGGGAAGAGATTGGGGAAGCTCCTCCATGAAGCCCTTTCATCAATTGCCGCTAAAAGACAGAAAATGAAACAGTAACAAAAAAGAGGGAGCAAAAAGCGTAGCTGGCTTTTATATACTATAAAAGAATGTTAGTGCAACGCAGACACATCCATCTTGACAAAGATTTGGAAGATAAAGTCTACTTTGAGAAGTAACAACAAACAAAATATCAAAGCCAAACAAAAAAAAAAAAACCATAATCCTTCTTCATTTCACCAAAAATTAAACGAGCGCCAAATTTCAAAAAAAAAAAAAAGTCAGATGGAAGATGAACCACAGGGATGACGAGTAAGAGCTACATATAACATCAGGCTCGTCGGTCGAAAGAGTGATGACCATGAAAACCTTCATAGACTTCGATGGATGCCATGAAGAGTGTGAAGCTAAGAAGTGTCAGCCTGCTCTTTCCAAACATATCTTACCTCTGCTTTTGTGGATGCACGTTTATACCGTGTCACCTCCATCAAGACTTTGACATCCTCTCGGAGGTCCGAATTCACTTCCGGATAGATGGAAAGCGTCCGAAGTTGCGGGGCAGAAGTTAGAGCAAGCCTCACAAGGTCCAACTCAACCTGTGTACCCGTAAATGCATGGATGGTAAACTCTTCAAGGCACTGAAAACAACTCGCAGGAGAAAGGCACTCTGCTTCCGCTTCCAACAGCAACTGTAAGCTGTCAATTAACTCTGTTGGCGGAAGGGAGGAGGGGGCATCATCGAGCTACAACAGCATTCATCAAGGAGTTAAGCTTTGACATATGCTGTATAACTAAAAAAAATTCACTTCACAAGACATTTAAAGTTTAAACCCATTACCCAAATTTCAAGCTTCTGCAAGTTGGGGGAACTCCTGATTAGACAAAGAAGCATGCGTGCTTGCGATGAACAATACAGTACGATTTGGTTCAGGTGAAGGTCTTCCAGTTGACAAAGAAGTGTAGGAAGCATGACGGGGATATTACCTGAGGCAAGGAACTAGAGAGAGCAAACATAAGACATTGTATATATGGAGCAACATTATGAGATGAATTGCGTGAATTGAAACTTTACTTCCATCCATTCTCGGCCAACAGTTAACTGTTCGATTGCTGGGAGAGAAGCAAATGTCAAGAACCAGTTGATCCCAATAACTCGAGTTGTTGGGAGAGGTTCAATCGTGGATCTTATACCACTCTCTAACACGCCCCCTCAAACGAAAGCCAACTTATGGGCTTGAAGTTTGCACAGGCCCACCATACCATGTGCTTGAAAGACAACGATTAATATTGGGGGTCGTGGAGATTCGAACACATGACCTTTCGGTTCTAGGCTCTGATACCATGTCAAGAACCAGTTGATCCCAATAACTCGAGTTGTTGGGAGAGGTTCAATCGTGGATCTTATACCACTCTCTAACAGCAAATACAGCAGCAACATCCGGATTATACACAGCAAAGTCGCTTCGTACATAATCCTCATCCAGTGGCTCGATTGCTACCTCTTCAAGACGAGGGGTATGCTTGAAGCATATATTCCAAACATTAGAATTAAACACTTCGAGCGAAGGAGCTACTAGTTCAGCTTTCCCACCAGACTCGATCGCATTTGAGCCCCGGACAGCAAGTGTCAAGTGCTCGAGAAGAGGGCACTTGGGAAGGAAATCGTCATAAAAGCTAGAGTCAATATTCACGCTTACTAACCAAAGATAGGTAAGCTTCGTGAATCCCAGAAACCAGGATGGTGCCCTAGAAAAACCACAATTCTTCAAAATCAGGGAGCTGAGTTCGCGAGCAGAAAACAAGGCAGAAGGCATCTCGCGCCCACTGCCGTCATCTCCATCATGAGTAAAGCTAAGGGTGAGTTCCTGGACACCTTTCTTGGCGAGGAAGTGAACCATGTGGTTGATATGAGGAGAAGGCCGCCTTAATCCATGAATTCGAAGCGTGAACTTGGTTACTGGTCCATCATGAACCAGCAGAGCTCTGTAAATCTCCAACATTAGCGCATTCGCTTTGGAATCATAGTCCCCCTCTTTTGAGATTTCGCCAAAATCGCTATCGAACACGAATCGAGTGTTTGACCTCCAGTTGTGCCGCCATTGTCTCGACAGTGTGGCTGTTTTGGCTGCATCTTTTACGGGCAATAACGTGAGAATGAGCTGCATCACATCGCTGGGGAGTTGGCTAATTCTATCGGCATTACGCTGGGCAGGCGCTTCCATATTCTGGGCTAGCTATGTGTTGCTACTTGCTCGCGCTCAACTTACCTTTAAAATCGCACTTTCTTCCCTTCTTGTTCTGTTCCCGAAACTAATAAGTAGTAATTATGATCCTATAGTTAATTACGACTTGTTACAGAGAAAGAAGGCCAACAGCATTTTATTTTTTCCACAGAAACCCAAAAGCATAATGGAAAGGAGAACCGCCAGGTCGGTTGAAATTGCTCGATTGGTTAACCGTTCGGGTCGAGATTCGACCGATAGTCTCAATGCAGCAGAAGTGTTTTTTATTGTGTTCTACATATAACTTGCATTGAATCTAGATGTATATAGAAATGTTTAACAAATATTAAAAGGGCACTTAATTTGTCCATTCAGTTAACCAAGATATATAATTAAAAAAAAAACTAAAAACTAGAAGTTCTAAGCATCCGTGCCAGGGGAAATGGGGAAATCATTAAATGAAAAGAAAAAGGAAAACGTTTAGGTCCATTGAATTAGGGGTCGTTTGCTTGAGGGTTTTGGTGATGGATTTGGTCATGGAAATATATCCATCATGGACTTGAACCGAAATCCATCGTTTGCCTTAGGGAATTAGGGAGATGGAATTTGTGGGGCCCACCACTTTTGGGGTTCCAAATCCGTGGACCCCACGGACTTGGAAGTTCCACCTCTTGAGGTGGGATTTGGGTGATGGATTAAAATCCATGATGGTAAATTACCTTTCTACCCTTAATTATTTCTTTGATTACAAATTTGTCCTACTTTAATTCAATGGTCATGCAACTGTAAACTTTTATAATTTCGTATTTTATAAATATGAGAATTTATCATTTCATTTTGTAATATCGTATTTTATTTAAATATGAATGTATATGTGATTTGTTAGATTCACCTAGAAACACTTTATGCTCATCTTGTACATTATTATTTGATTGATTGTCGGATTCCACACCGGTGAGTTAGCAAGAAGATGATGAGTTGTAGCAATAAAGCGAGCAATTGGCTTCAATTTATACATAATATTGTATACATTATTAGATGAATTGTTTTTTTTTATGAAGGATTATTAGATGAATTTTTAATTAGTGCCAAGATGAATTGTTAATTAGTGCCATATTGTAATACATTTCTATATTTGTAGTTGAATTATTAATCGACATAGTGGTAAAGATTTTAAAATTTCTTTCTATGTTTTGGATTAGTTTTAAATGAAAGATTTGGATTATAATATAGAAATATAATTAAATAAGGGTAACTAGGTAATTTGTATTTACTATCCACAAATCTAATCAAAGAAAGTCCATAATCAAATCCATCAAGCAAACAATAGACTTGTTCAAATCCATAATGCCACCAAATCCATCATATATCCATGGTTTTCCAGAACCCAGGTTTTACCAAAACCCTCATTTTTCAAATCCATGAAGCAAACGCCCGTAACGGGAAATCGGAAGAGCCGATGAGAAGAGAGCGGATCTGATGACTGGGGGTGCTTAGTCACTTGGCTAAACCCCTCCTAGCCATTAGATCTGGACACTTCAATTCAATGGTTAAAAAGTGGAAATAGCTATTTAATTAATGACAGTGGTAGTTTGGGTATTATGGAAAATTACGAAGTATACAAACCAGATTTACAATCAGTACAAACTATACAAACATACGAACAGTACAAACTAGAGCTAAAACATACAAACAGATTTACAAACTTTACAAACGTATGAACTGTACAAACAATACAAACTAGACCGACAAAAAATACAAACCATACAAAAAGAAAAAACAACCGGGTTGACTTTGGAGTCTCCATCCCTATATAGAGGGGCTCCTTCCCAAAGTCAACCCGGGTGTTTTTTAGACATACAAACAGTACGAACATGGTGGACAAAAATGACAAACTAGACCGACAATCCGTACGAACGGGAAAAAACACCCGGGTTGACTTTCGAGGCTCCATCCCTATATAGAGGGGCTCCTTCCCAAAGTCAACCCTAGTGTTTTTTAGACATACAAACATTACGAACATGGTGGACAAAAATGACAAACTAGACCGACAATCCATACGAACTGGAAAAAACACCTGGGTTGACTTTGGAGGCTCCATCCCTATATAAAGGAGGTACATCCAAAAGTCAACCAAGTTGTTTTTTAGACATAAAAAACATTACAAACATGGTGCACAAAAATAATAAAGTTTACAAACATTACAAAAAAAACCGACAAACATTACAAAATAACAAAGCATACAAACATTACAAAATATGTCAACAAACATCACAAAATTAGCACTGGCGCCGGGAAATTCTTCTTCGGCGACGATGTTCGTCGGAAAAAACTTTCCGACAAGAAAATCTCTCTCTCTCTCTGGGATGGAATAATGGCGCCCAGGAGGAAATAATGGCGCCCATCTCTCTCTCTGGAAATTCCCATGGAATAATAATGGCACACCCTTGAAATAATGGCGCCCATGACCCAGGAATTACCTTGGTCGGAGACGGAGGGCGGGAGGCGACCGCCGCAAAGGGACGGGGACGGGAACGGCAGCGGCGGATCCAGAACACAGAAAAGCACTGGGCCGCATTTCATTAGAAAATTAGAACCGTAAAAAAAACATTATAGTTTTTTTTACAATATACATTGTACACGACAGTATTTTAATTTAGCGAATACATCAATAATAGAGTCCACATCCATACCAATAATATACACTGTTTTAAATAAAATACTTGAGCAATTGGCGAGAAATTCATCGCTCGTTTTGTTGCACAAATCAGTTTTCATATGTTTCATTGTTGAAAAGGTTATCCCCGTAGTAATTGGTGATACGAGGAGCGTCAACGCTAGACAAATCAATCGTGCATTGTGTGTCCATACCTATATCCACTAGCTGCTTTAGTAAATTTTCAGGGAACAAAACTCATATTTCTTATAGTCTTTTGTTTTAGACTTTTAGAATTTAAGATTTCATTATTTTTATTTTTTCGAAGAATAATCTTAGGAGCTAAAATTTCTAGGCTAAATTTATAGTAGTGATTTGAATATGTTAATTTGAATCATTTTTCTAGTTACACCCAATCTTATTATAAAATAACACTGGGCCGAATAACCAAAATCGAAACATTTATAAAGGTTATACTAACTCCGGATCCAGATGAGGGCTGAGCCGGGGCCCGGGGTGACCACCCCCTGGATCCGCCAGTGGGGAACGGGCTGGGTTACTTTTTTTTTATTCCTTTTATAATTAAAAGTTAAAAATAAATATGCAATTACTATACTGTCCTTCATTAAATTGGATTAATAGGAGCCCTTAGATTTTAATGAGGTGCAAGGGTGGAGATTCACTTAGCCATGTGACTAAGGGGACCCCCCTTAGTCACCTGATCTCAGCCCGATGAGAAACCCACGTCTGAATCTCACCCTCGGCCTTGGCATTCTTCTCCGTCTCTGAATCAATGGTGTTAAAACCGAACCAAAGTATAAACCGGTATAATGAACAGATCACACTTTAATAATTTAACTGATATTAAATCGTTAAAAATTCGTTAATGAATCGGTGCTTACTAATAAAAAAAATATAATTACTACACCCTTCTTAAGTATAATAAACCACACATGCATTACTATAAATTAAACAAATATAAATCATCCACAAAGAAACACTCAATTCTGAAAATTGCTCCATTGTAGACATGAAATCAATAATTCAAAATTCCACATATAAACAATTTCATATGTTCAATCTAAGTGTAGATGAATATTGGACCCAAAATAAAAGAGAATAGTTCTCTAATATTATTAGTCACAACAAACCCTCAAAGTTTCGAGAAATCAAGCCAAGTTAGATCAAGCATATCACCAAGTTCTAGACCGGTTATATATCCACCACTTAAATAATATTTGTTGCAACTAAACCACTTAATTCTAACTTTCGTTGTATCATTATTATTTTTTCCCCAAAATTTATTGGTGGATATGCAAACGTAATTATTCCTGCATGTGGAGTATCTAACTTTTTCTAAAAGGTTGTTTTTATCACTTTTAGTAATTAGTTTATTAGCTCAGGTCCATTGCTCCGAAAAAATCGGAGGATTTCCAAATCGCGAGAGCAAGTTTGCTAGGGTTTCTACGGTCTGAATGACAGCGGCTAAGCGGACGACGTCGCCGGCTGTGGCGGGTAAGCCCCCGGAAGCTTCGAGTGGGCAACGACGTCCTGCTGAAGCTTCCTCTACCCCGGATGGTAAGAGCGCCAGAGAGACGGTACAACCAAAGAAGAAGGTTCGTGCTCTAAACTTTGCGGGGGAGGCAGTGGATGTTGAGGACATAACGGCTAATGAGATGGATACGGAACAAGACGGGAAAGCAACAAAATCGCCATGGCAGGCGAGGAAGGGGATGAGCTTTAGTGATATACTGCAGCAAGACCATTGGTATGTAGCTGATTCGGACTCTGAGGATGTGTTGGCAAGAGAGAAGGAAGAAGATGATGAGATAGACGATGAGAAAGAGGACCCAAAATGCCCGACAATTCCTTTTACCGCAGCGGAAAAGTCTAGGTGGCGCCGAGAGTGGCGTTCGGCACTGGTGGTGAAGGGTTTGGGAAGAAGAGTTTCCTACATTACGTTGGCACGCCGACTGAATGCAATATGGGCTAGACATGGAGACTTACAGATTTCGGACATGAGGAACGGATGTTTTTTAGTACGTTTCCGTAGCCAGAAGGACTATGAATGGGCGACGATGGGTGGACCATGGCTACTGGGAGATACCTACTTGACGGTTCATAGATGGTTTAAGGGTTTTAACCCGTGGAAAACTGTGGTCACATCAACAATGGTGTGGGCTCAATTACCTAAGCTGCCGATTGAGTTCATTAATAAAGAAGCTGTGATGAAGATTGCGGAACGGCTGGGAAGACCGGTACGAGTGGATAGAGCGACTGAACTAGGTGCCCGAGGAAAGTATGCTAGGGTATGTGTTGAAGTTGACCTAACGCAGCCGCTACTATCACAATTTAAGATAGAGGGAGTCACATACCTGGTCCAATATGAGGGCTTGGATGATCTCTGTACCTGTTGTGGGACGTACGGGAAAACGGCCGGGACATGTCAATGTGCAAAGCTGATTAATGAAATGGATATGGAAGGTAACAGGGAAGTGGAACCGGAGGTAAGGGAGGATCCCACGCAGGGACGAACATATGGTGACTGGATGGTTGTCAAACGGAGGGGGCGAGGATTTGATCGGAGGAAGGAGGAGGAAAGGGGAACAAAGAAAGATGAGTCAGGCACAAATAGATTCCAGAAGTTGGCAACGGAGACGACCCGAACTGTGAGTGGGGAAGCTGAGAAGGAGGCCGATAAGGGAAACAATGGAAGGGAAGAAGAGAGTGTGGAGAGAGAAGAACATGAGTTACGTGACCAGTCCCATGCAGATACACATGCAACGCAGGCTCAGGTGGGAATTCAGATCCAAAGCTCCCCAAATGTGATGACGTCAAGCAAGCAAGCTATAGGGGCAAAGGAGGGATCTGGGGGCCGAAAGGGTCCTGAGGTGAGAAAGGGGCAGGGTGTTCAGGTCCAACATGGGAGTATGGGGAAGTCCAAAGGTAAAAGTGATGATGGAAAGAAGATGGAACAGAAGAAGGGAGAGAGTAACACAGGTCTAGGAAGCCGAAAGGATTCTAGTGGGGAAAATACACAAAGAGCTTATGGTGCGGGGAACCGATCCCCTTCGGTTGTTAAATGAGGCTTCTTTGCTATAACTGCCGTGGTCTGGGAAATACACGAGCAGTTAGAGCTTTGAAGTCGCTTTTGCCACGGATTTCCCCCCATTTGGTTTTTCTGACGGAGACCAAACAGCTTAGTGGTGAGAATGAGGTGCTAAGAAAAGAGTTGGGTTTTGACAATGGAGATAGCTGGCCTTGTGACATCTCGAGAGGGGGCCGGGCAGGGGGCCTTTCAGTGTGGTGGACAGAAGAGGTAAAAGCTACAATTATGGATGGATCAGCTAACTTTATGGATGTGAGGATTGAGGAACCCCAAGCAGGCACCTGGCGATTCTCTGGTATTTATGGGTGGCCTGAAGGGAATGAGAAGCACAAAACATTAGACCTGTTGCGAGAGCTAGTGGGACGGTGGCAGGGTCCGTGGATTGCGGTGGGGATTTCAACCTGATCCTCGCCGACCATGAGAAGAGGGGTCGAAATTTGGGTAATGAGCATGAGATGAATGCTTTTGCTGATTGCCTGACGGAGACGGGTTTGCAAGATTTGGGGTTACATGGTCCACCATTTACGTGGGAAAACAGGAGGCAAAGGGGAGGATATGTGGAGGAAAGATTAGATCGCTTCCTAGCAAATGAGAACTGGCGGTCCATGTGGCCGGCAGGACGTGTTTCACACCTGGATTACGCTCGATCGGACCATAGACCCATCATTTGTGACTCGAGAGGGGAAGAGGATGAGGACATTAAATGGGGGTGGTCTTTCCGTTTCGAGCCGTTATGGACAAAGCATGCAGATTGTGCGGAAACAATACAAGAAGCTTGGACCACGACGATAGGGGATGCTACCTCAAAAATTGTGCAGGTACAGGCAAAGTTGGATCAATGGAGTAGGACTGCCTTTCCAAATTTTCGAAGGCAAAAAGAACGGATCCGACGAGCTTTGAAAGCACTAGAAAGAAGGGAGCAGACGAATATTGTTATCCAACAACGAAATAAACTGCAATTGGAGCTGGATGAGGTGGAAAGTGATGAAGAATTATTCTGGAAACAGCGATCACGGGCCGACTGGTTGAGGGAAGGAGACAAGAACACCACCTTCTTTCACCGCAAAGCCTCCCTTCGACGAAAGAGAAACACAATCCGGAAGATCAGAGATGAGGCAGGACAGTGGTGGTGCGGAAACGAGGAAGTGGCGGCATGTTTCACTAACTATTTTGTTGAGTTGTTTACTGCAGGGGATCGGCCGCTACTTACCCCAGTGCTGGACTCGATTGGCAGCTGTGTTAATGAGGAGATGAACGAGTGTCTGGTGAAGCCGTTCACGCGGGAGGAATTCTATGGAGCTCTTCGCCAAATGGCAAAAAGGAAAGCACCAGGAGCAGATGGCATGTCAGTGTTCTTCTTTATGAAGTACTGGAATATTATAGGGGATGACGTTACTAATATGTTACTGGAGGTGATGGAGAATGAGTCTTTACCAGTTGGACTTAACCATACTTTGATAGCTCTCATCCCAAAGGTGAAAGACCTGACAATGGCGAAGGAATTCAGACCCATCAGCTTATGTAATGTTATGTATAAGATGTTATCGAAAGCAATGGCGAACATATTGAAGATTTTTCTGGACATAATTATTTCGCCGGAGCAGAGTGCTTTTGTCCCTGGCCGGTTTATAGCTGACAATGTCATGACGGCGTACGAGTGTTCCGTACTATGAAGAAAAAAACGAAGAATAAGACGGGTTATTTGGCAGCAAAGACGGACATGACCAAAGCATATGATAGGGTCGAGTGGTGGTTTCTTGAAGGCGTGATGCATCGGATGGGCTTTGCGGAGAGGTGGATTCGGTTGATCATGATGTGCGTCAGGCCTGTGACATACGCAGTCCTGGTCAACGGTCACCGATCAGAAACTTTCTCACCGAGTAGAGGGTTACGACAGGGCGACCCACTATCCCCCTACCTCTTCTTGTTGGTGGCGGAGGGGCTTTCCCGCTATACTTCGCTGGCGGTTAGACAGAAGAGGATTCATGGGTTGTCTGTAGCTCGCGGAGCACCAGTCATATCGCACCTCTTCTTTGCTGATGACTCGATCTTTTTTGCTAGGGCAAATGTACAGGAGAGTAGAGAGCTGCGACGGGTGTTGAGTGATTATGAGAAGGAATCAGGCCAATTGGTGAGCCTTGAGAAGTCGGAAGTCACTTTCGGTAAAAATGTCAAACCCCACCAACGTTTGATTGTGAGCTCCATGCTGGGAATGAAGGCAGTTGAAAAACACGATAAATATTTGGGTCTAGTTACTCAAGTCGGTAGATCAAAGAAGGAACTGTTTGTTTACCTGAAAGATCGAGTGCGCAAAAAGCTGTCAGGTTGGAAGGAAAAGGCAATATCCGCCGCAGCTAGAGAAGTGTTGATCAAGTCGGTTGCCCAGGCACAGTTAACATATACGATGTCTGTTTTCAAGGTCCCAGATGGTATTATTGATGAGATTCATGGTTTAATTACTAGATTCTGGTGGGGTCAAAGGGGGCAGGAGCGAAAGACCCCATGGATTGCCAGAGAAGCTTTGATCTGTTCGAAAGCTCAAGGGGGAATGGGCTTTCGGGATCTCCGCGGGTTTAATCAAGCTCTTCTTGCCCGTCAATTATGGAACCTCCTTCAATGGCCGAATTCCCTAGTGGCCTGCCTATTGAAAGAAAAATATCATAAGAATGTATCCATCCTGGATGCGAGGGTAGGTCATTGCCCGAGCTATGTGTGGAGAAGCCTGATGAGTGCTCAGGAATTCTTACTGGATGGACTGAGGTGGAGGATAGGTAATGGATCCTCAGTGAGGATATGGGGAGATTGTTGGCTACCGACCACGCCAGGGTACGTTATTCAGTCACCTCCGATGGGACTCCCGGTGGATGCAGTCGTTCGGGATCTCATGGACGAGGAGGAGGAGACATGGGACGATACAGTGTTAGAGAGCTGTTTCACAGAGGAAATGGTGAAGGCCATTCGACAAATCCCTCTACGTGACCCACAGGAGCCGGATAGACTTATTTGGGCAAGCAGTAAAGACGGAAGTTATTCCGCCAGGGAAGGCTACAAACAATGGCTGGCGCGGCATCAAGAAGAGCAGGGAGATCGAAGTGTAGGTTATCCAGCTTTGTGGAACCAGCTTTGGTCGATGAATCTTCCACCCAAAATTAAGGTTTTCATGTGGAAGTTTACAAGGGGAGCACTTGCTACGGTAGACCGCATGAGCCAACGAAATCCGAGGCGAGGGGACGCTTGCCCTTTTTGCAATCTCAAGGAGGACCAGGTACATTTGTTTAGCCAATGTGCATGGATGAGCAGATTATGGAGAGTTTCAAATGTGGCCCACTGTTTCGAGATGAGAGGGGATTTGAATTGCATGGAGTGGTTTCGTAAAGTAGCCGAGAGTGCTACTGAGCAGGATTTTGAGAGCTGGGCTGTTCTACTCTGGTTTTTCTGGAAAGAAAGGAATGCCCACCTCTTTAATGGAGTGAAGATGGAGGAGGCAGATATTGTCCCAAGATCGATAGCTTACTTGGAAGAATACCAATCATACCAAGGAAGGGAGGAAGTACATGCTGCAACTGAGATGGACCACCAGTGGAGACGTCCAGTGGAGGGGGTGATTAAAATCAATACTAACGCAGGAGTGGACAATGATGGAATCGGTTTGGGGGTGGTAGTTCGAGATCACAGTGGTAAGTTTATTATGGCAGCAGCTAAGAAGGTGAGAGGCATCCAGGACCCAATGATGGGTGAGGCGTTAGCTATGGAATTTGGTGTGCAGCTTGCTCGACAACATCAGTTAGGCTCCCTAGTCCTCGAGTCGGACTGCCTTGTCGTGGTCAACCATGTGAATTCGGCATCGGAAATTCAGACGGAGCTTGGAGTGGTATGTAGACATATCCGGCGACTCCTGGATGAGACTGGTGGGGGACAAATAAGGCATGCGAGTAGAAGAGCAAATGAGGCGGCACATATCATGGCGCACACGAGAACTCGATGGAATGAAGCGGAAGTTTGGTTCGAGAGGCCACCGCTAAATCTGCTCGATCAGCTTTACATTGACGATGTATCTTCTGTTGTTCATCAATAAAAGCTGAGTGCAGGTTTCAATAAAAAAAAATCAGCTGAGTTGCCACTGTGCCTTAAACAACAACGTTTTGCTATTTTTGCTTTGATTTTGTATTTTTTCTGCTGCAACACGAAAACCAAGAGGAATTAATTAGTAATTAATTAATATATAAAAGTCAAGGTTTAATGTTACTATTCATTAGTGGCTCTCACACTCATCCTTGCAAGTGGGCAAGTTTTCAAGTTCCATCTTTTACCGCATTCTCCCATTCTACAACATTTGTGTTCATTTATTGCCCGTTGGGTCTACATCTATTGTCCATAAGGTTTCATCTATTGTTCATTGTGTTCCCTATTGCAACAATTATCTATTACGTTTTCGTCTATGATCTTTTGCCCAAATCATCGCCTTAGCCCACCAATTCGCAACACATCTCGAAACACTATCGACGAAATCATAAGTTGTCATCTTCCACCGTTTGCCACAACCTCTACCGAAGATCCATACCATATTTCGAAATACTTTCGGTGGAATCCTAGGTTGTACCCATCCACCGTGTCACAAGACCGCTACCGAAAATGAATTCCAACATGCTCTATGTTGCCCAGTTTTATATTCGTTAGTGTTTTCTTATTTCTCTTTTTCTTTTGGTTAAGCATAACAATCGAACTCAAAACTCATGGGTATCCAACCTAATTCGACCAGGTCAAAGCGACTTGAACTCATCTTTAGTCATTTTAAATTTCTATTTTCTTTTTGTTGAGAATGACAATTGAACCCAAACATGGTATTGACGAGTTTTGTATCAAGAGCGAGTTTTATCTATTACGTTTTCGTCTATGATCTTTCGCCCAAGTCATCGCCTTGCCCCACCAATTCGCAACCCATCTCGAAACACTATCGATGATATCATAAGTTGTCATCTTCCACCGTTTGCCACGACCGCTAGCAAAGATCCATACCATATCTCGAAATACTTTCGGTGGAATCGTAGGTTGTACCCATCCATTGTGTCACAAGACCGCTACCGAAAATCCATACAAACATGATCTATGTTGCCGAGTTTTGTATCAGGACCGAATTTTATATTCTTCAGTGTTTTCTTATTTCTCTTTTTCTTTTGGTTAAGCATGACAATTGAACTCAAACTCATGGGTATCCAACCTAATTCGACTAGGTCAAAGCGACTTGAATCCCTCTTTAGTAATTTTAAAATTCTTTTTTTCTTTTCGTCGAGAATGACAATTGAACCTAAACCTAGTATTGACGAGTTTTGTATCGAGAGCGAGTTTTTTTCGCTTTTGTAGTTGGCATCTTGGGCCGAGTGTGAATTTGTTAAAAACTCTATTCGAACCCGCCAAAGCGAGATGAACACGGTGTTGACGAGTTTTGGATCGAGAGCAAGATTTGTCTGTTTCATGTTATTTTATTTTTCCTTTTCGTTAAGAATGACAATTGAAGCAAGACTCGGTGCTGACGAGTTTTGTATCGCGAGCAAATTTTATCCGCTTTTAGAATTGGCATGTTGGCCCACTGTGAATTGTTAAGAACTCGGTTTGAACCAATGAAGGCGATTTGAACTTGGTGTGTAGAGTTTTTTGTAGGGAATCCACTTTAGTGTTTTTTATTTATCTTTTCCCTTTTGGTTGAAAACTCAAACCTATGGGTATCCAATCTAATCTAACTTGATACAAATGACTTGAACCCGATGTTTAAAAGCTTTCAAGAAGGAGTGAATTTTATTCGCTTTTGTAATTGGCGGGTCGAGTTGGTTGTGAATTTGTTACATACTTGGTTCAACCAGATCATAGAGAGTTGAACATGATGTTGCCGAGTTTTGGGTCGTGAGCGAGTTTTATCCACTTTATTGTTTCTTAATTTCTCGAGCGGGCGTGAGTTTTATACGGTTTTTAATTGTCTGGTTACGGTTGTGAATTTGTTACAAACTCGGTTCAACCCGATCAAAGAGAGTTGAACATGATGTTGCCGAGTTTTGGGTCTTCAGCGAGTTTTATCCGCTTTAATGTCTTTTTTTCTTTTTGGTTGAGAACTAACTCGAAGAAAAAAAAAAGCAAAGCAATTTACGAGAGAAGATTTAACATAGAAATTATTTGCTCGACGACCATTCTCGCTTATTAAAGTTCATCGTTGCGTCGACTACATGAAATTGTAAATGACAAACCCTTTATTTTTGGATCAAAATTTAAACTATTAATCTTTAAAATTTCATGTTCTCGCTCACACGCGAAGCGACGACTAGCGACTTATACTAGTACAATAAAAACAAAGCAATACAATGACACGGGAATATAATGAACCATGGGAGACCAAGAGGAAGTCATGAACGGAAAAGAAAGGGAAACATGGCGCTGTAATTAAAAACTTCACTTTCACGTAGGAGTTTGTTTCCGGAGCATGAAAAGATTCATTTGAATAATTGAAGAGCAGACTACCCAAGTTATATTATCCTATTTTTTATACTATGCATCTCAGCAACAAGAGCACTACATTATCTCATCAATCCATCAAAGCAGAATCCACAAAATTGCAGCAACGAAAAGAGTAACATCCTTTACAGACACCTCCGCACCCTCAACTAGATAATGGTTTTCCAATCGCCAAGCAAAATCATTGGCAGAGTTGGATCCCTAATCCCCCTAGTAATCAAAAGACTTCCTTTGAAATGGACTTTCCAATCCTGTGCTCAGTATGTCGATTTCTTGTTTGTTAAGGAACAATGCTCATGGAAGGAACTAAACACAAAGAGGTAAGGCTAGACTAGTAGAATAGCAACGAGTCACGAGTCAGAACTATCAACAATACATTCAAAGCTAAATCACTTCAACTAAATCAGCTCAAGCACCCTCGCATAATTAAAACATGTATAACAATCCAAAAGGGCGAGAGAGGTGAAGGCGTAAAGCTACGAATTGTCGACCTCATCATCCCAGAGGTATTTGAGCTCGGCTTCTTTAGAAATACGCTTATATAAGGTCACCTCTTTCAAGAACCTCACAACTTTTTTGGAGGATAACTCCTTTAAAGGCAGAACAGATATACTATGTGTTAGAAACCGGCGGGTTGGGCCGGTTGGGTGAGGAAGTGGCAGTTTCGTTATTTTCATCATTCAGCTTTTGTATTTAAGAGGAGAAAACACTATTCTGCAGATTCAGTCAATTATCAATATTATCAATCAAAATCCCTAATTCCCAATTCTCTCTATCTCTTGTTCTTCCCCAATTCTTCTCAAATCCCTAATTTCTTCTCTTCTCAATCCCTAATTCCCTTGTGGAACTTCTTTGTTTCTAACATCTGGTATCAGAGCCCCGTTCCGATCTGTGAGTTCTTCTTAACTCCATCAGGGACAGCTTAGAAACCAGGGAATCGGCAATGGAAAAATCAGAACTGTCATGGGCTCAGAAGCAAGAGAGGCCGTGGCAGATCGCGGATTATTGGAGGAAGGAGGCAGCGGCGTTCGGCCAGGCCGACCGAGGCGCGGTGGGCGGCGCGCGGCAGGAGGCGGCGCGCGAGAGGGTCGAGGTCGGTGCGGAGGGCGGCGCGCGGCTGGTGGCGGCGTGCGCGGTGATCGAGGAGGGCGCGGGGCGGAGCCCGACCGACGGGGCTGGCGGGGAGGCGCTGAGGTGCGCGCGGCCTGCGGTGGAGGGCGAGGCCGATGGCGGCTGCGCCGGTGATGGCCGGGTCGCGGGCGAGGAAGGAGGGGGGGCGGCGGCGATTTCCCTACACTCTGTAGCTGGGATTTCGTCGCCCGGAACCCTGAGATTTCGAGCAAGGGTGGCCGGGCAGCAGGGTCTTGTCCTCGTTGATAGTGGGGCCTCGTTGAATTTCATCGGGGAAGACTTTGCTAAGACTTTACAGGTGACCGCGAGTCCGACGAGACCGGTGGTGGTCCGGGTGGCTAATGGGGCGCCGTTGAGGTGCGTCGAGGTGTACAGGGACTTGGCATTGGAGATTCAAGGCCTGGAGGTTGTCACTGACCTCTATGTACTGCCTTTGCGCGGGTTCGACATTATCCTCGGTATACCTTGGCTGCAGAGCCTAGGACCGATTACCAGTGATTGGCGAAGGCTGACGATGTGCTTCAAGTGGAGGGATAAGGAGTGGAGTCTGAGAGGCTTGACCACCGCCATTGGGCCGATCGATATGGAGGAGTGCGCGAAGGGGGAGGGCACCGAGCTCGCTGTCCTATGCTGGCCTCTATCTGCAGCAGGGAAGCCGGAGGTTGATGGGGAGATGCAGGAGCTGTTAGACCGGTATCCCGAGCTGTTCAGGGCGCCGACCACTCTTCCGCCTCATAGGCAGGTGGATCATCAGATTTGTCTGAAGGAGGGAGTGGAAGCAGTGAATGTGAGGTCATACCGTTATGGGCATTCGCAGAAGGGGGAGATCGAGAAACAGGTAGAGGAGATGCTTGCGACCGGACTGATCCGGCCTAGCACCAGTCCTTTTTCTTCGCCGGTGTTGCTGGTTAAGAAGAAGGATGGGACTTGGAGATTCTGCACAGACTACCGGGCTCTCAACAAGGCGACCGTGAAGGATCGGTTTCCGATCCCGACAGTGGATGACATGTTAGATGAGCTGCATGGGTCGAGCTATTTCACTAAGCTCGACTTGAGAGCCGGTTACCATCAGATCAGGATGCAGGAGGAGGATGTGCCCAAAACCGCATTCCGCACTCATAATGGCCACTATGAGTATTTGGTCATGCCATTTGGGCTGTGCAATGCTCCTTCGACGTTTCAGGCTGCCATGAACGACATTTTTCGGCCTCTCCTGAGACGGTATGTCATGGTATTTTTTGATGATATACTGGTTTATAGTCCTACTTGGGAGGACCATTTGAGACATTTGCAGGAGGTGTTTGAGATTCTTCGGAGGCACCAGTACTATGTCAAGGCCTCCAAGTGTGAGTTTGGGGTGCAGAAGGTGGATTACCTGGGTCATGTGGTGACGCCTCAGGGAGTACAGGTGGACCAGGCCAAGATTCGAGCCATGGTGGACTGGCCCGTGCCCACCAATGTGACCGAGTTGCGTGGCTTCCTGGGATTGACTGGGTACTACCGTAAGTTTGTGCAGGGATACAGTATGATCGCGAGACCTCTGACGGACTTGCTGAAGAAAGGGGGGTTTGGTTGGTCACCGCAGGCAGAGGAGGCGTTCCAGAAGCTGAAGCAGGCGGTGTCCACAACCCCCACCCTGGCCATGCCGGATTTCTCGAAGACGTTCGTGATTGAGGCCGATGCGTCTGGTCGCGGTATTGGGGCAGTGTTGTCTCAGGATCGACATCCCATTGCTTTCATGAGCAAGACACTACCTCCTTCGAAGGAGGCCTGGTCGACATATCAGAAGGAGATGCAGGCTATCATCACAGCAGTACAGATGTGGAGACCATATTTGCTGGGCCAGAAGTTTCACATCTATACAGATCATCAGAGTCTGAAGCATCTCCTAGAGCAGAGGGTGTCGACGCCGGACCAGCATAAGTGGATTTCGAAGCTGCTGGGGTATGACTACGAGATTCATTACAGACCGGGACCCACCAATGTGGTGGCTGACGGCCTATCCAGGCGTCCGGGTGGGGAGGTTCTCACGGCAGTGACCGGGCCGGTGCCGGAGTTTTGGGATGAGCTTCGTGCATCACTGGAGACCAGTTCCTATCTGCAGAGTTGCCGGGACATTGCTGTGAGCGACGAGCCGGGTCGTTACCAGTTCAGACAGGGGCTGGTCCTTTTCAAGGGCCGGGTGGTCCTTCCGCCGGGGTCAAAACTGGTCACGACTGTGCTGATGGAGTTCCATGACTCGCCGCTGGGGGGTCATTCGGGTGTGGAGCGGACCCTTCGGCGGATTCGGGCCCATTTCTACTGGCCTCGCATGGCGGACGACGTGAAGAGCTACGTAGCGTCCTGTGACACCTGTCAGAGGGTGAAGTTATCTCACCTCAGACCTGCAGGGTTGTTGCAGCCACTACCGGTGCCGGAGCGGGTTTGGGAAGACGTCAGCATGGATTTTATAGTGGGACTTCCCCCCTCAGGTGGCAAGACGGTGTTGTTCGTGGTGGTGGACCGTCTGACGAAGTATGCTCACTTCATGCCTTTGGCTCACCCGTACACGGCAAAGGCAGTGGCTGAGCAGTTTGTATCAGGAGTGGTGCGGCATCACGGGTTTCCTCGATCTATTGTGAGTGATCGGGATTCAGTCTTCTTGAGTCACTTCTGGCAGGAGGTCTTTGCTATGGCCAAGACGGCGTTGAAGATGAGTTCGGCCTATCATCCGCAGACGGATGGCCAGACGGAGATCGTGAACAAACATCTGAAGCAGTATCTCAGGTGTTTTGCCCACCAGCAACCCAAGAGCTGGTTGGCCATGATTCCATGGGCTGAGTTGTGGTATAACACCACCTATCACAGGGCTATTCGGATGACTCCTTTCGAGGCTCTATACGGGCGAGCTCCGCCATCCCTGGTTCGATACAGGGTGGGTGACAGTTCAGTGGATGCTGTGGACAGGTGGTTAGGGGCGAGGGATGAGGCACTTGAGCAGCTGCGGAGTACGTTGGCAGCCGCCAACAACAGGATGAAGCAGTTAGAGGATGCGGGTAGGCGGGAGGAGGAGTTCGAGGTGGGTGACTGGGTGCTGCTGAGACTGCATCCCTATCGGCAGGCCTCGGTCTTCAGGCGCGCCTACCAGAAGCTGGCGGCTCGTTATTTCGGGCCCTACGAGATTCTGCAGAAGGTCAACCCAGTGGCCTATCGTTTGCAGCTGCCGGCAGAGTCTCGCATTCATCCTACCTTCCATGTTTCATTGTTGAAACGTTACAGGGGAGCAGCAGACAGAGTTGAGACGACAGCTCCGCCAGTCAGTGCAGATGGTGATCTTGAGCTGGAGCCGCTGAAGGTGCTCGAGACCAGATGGGTGAAGAAGAAGGGTCGACTGGTGGAGGAAAGCTTAGTGCTTTGGAGGCATTTGGAGCCGGAGGACGCGACTTGGGAGGAGTCGGGCGACTTGCAGCAGAAGTTTCCGTACTTTGACCTTGAGGACAAGGTCAGACTTGAAGAGGGGGAGGATGTTAGAAACCGGCGGGTTGGGCCGGTTGGGTGAGGAAGTGGCAGTTTCGTTATTTTCATCATTCAGCTTTTGTATTTAAGAGGAGAAAACACTATTCTGCAGATTCAGTCAATTATCAATATTATCAATCAAAATCCCTAATTCCCAATTCTCTCTATCTCTTGTTCTTCCCCAATTCTTCTCAAATCCCTAATTTCTTCTCTTCTCAATCCCTAATTCCCTTGTGGAACTTCTTTGTTTCTAACACTATGAAGTAGCGGGGCAGTGGCAAGTACGAACCTCACCAGGTCTAGCTCAACTTGTGTACCACGACTATCCCTAATGTTCAACTCCTTAAGATGTTGAAGACGGCACACTCCAGGGTGGTCCTCAGCTTCCAACAACTCCACTAGGTTAGCAATGACCTCTGAAGGGGGATGATAACTGTCATCATCAATCTACAAAAGCACTCATAAACAGCATCTTAAGATACAGAGTGAACAACCAATAATACCCACATACATAGTACACGAGAAGTTTCGAGATTCACAACAGAACCTTACCCGAATGGTGAGTGTTTCCAGGTTGGGTGAGCTCATGATTAGACAAACAAGAACCTGTGCCTGTGGCAACCTATCCAACAGAAGGCGGGGTATTTCGAGGAATTTCAAGTTACGGAGAGATGTGGGAAGCTGGCAGGGGAGATGTGGAGCAGCAGCAAGGGACTGAGGAAAGCAGCAGCAGCATTAGATTGTGTAGAGACCCTAGCAGCGGCAACATCAAATGGACAATCACACAGAAAGCCAATTAACTTACCAGCAGTAATTCAACTCCAAGATTGAGGTGCTGAAGTGCAGGGAGAGATTCAAATAAGCGGACCATATCTGGAACATCGTCCGCAAAGTTGTCTTCCGCATAGCTACACACGCCAGGGTCTAAAACTGATACCACTGAAAGAACTGGGGTATGCTTGAAGCATAATTTCCAAAGAGTCGAGTGAAATAAAAGCACTTTTAGGGAAGGCGCTACAAATGCAAGCTCTTTATAACCGTAACAACGTGGTAAAACCCTCAATTCTTCAAGCAGCGGGAACTTGGGAAGGACATGCTCAAAGAAATCGAGGGGCAACCATAAATTCGCCAATTGGAGATGGGTAAGCTTAGGAAATCCCTCGAACCCAGATGGCGGAGTGAATCTACAACGCTGCAGTGTTAGGCGCTTGAGATGAATGGCGGAGAAAAGGGCGGAATGCAATTGCCCGCAACGACCAGTCCCAGAAAAGAGAAGGGTAAGCTCCTGGACACCTTTGCTGGAAAGGTAAAGCATCAAGAGGTCAAGTTTAGGGGGGCAGCGCCCAAGTCCAGGAATAGCGAGCTCAAACTTGGTTATTGGCCCCTCATGGAGCAGCAGAGCTTCGTAAATGTGCATCAGAAACTTGCCATCATCCGGTGAACAATCACCTTTTTCAGGGGCCGGAGCAAAACTGCCATCGAACACAAGCTGAGGAATGCTTCTCCAGCGATGCCTCCATTCCCTTGACAAGAGACTGGTTCTCGCTGCCTCTTTTACGGGCAGGAACGTCAGAAGGCGCCCAATCACCTCAGCGGGAAGACCGCCCATCCTACTAGCATTCGTCTCGCAGAGCCGCTTCATCGTGGCGCTTCGCTACGCAGAATCAACACACAAGAGTCGGGTTCCCTGCTCTATTTCGCAATGGAGAAGTTATGTATACTGATTTGTATCGTGAAGCGGAAGAGACAGAGGGCTTTCCCATGGATGCACAGAAGAACCCTAATCCCCTTTTCTTTTTTGGTGAAACCCTAAGCCTCCTAACTAGGGGTCTTCAAACGGTGTGGTTACCATAGTAACCGTTTTAATCAGTGCTATTTGGATAATTTGATTTGGTTAATTTGGATAATTGGTTTAGTTTGGTTAAAGTTCTTAGTTTGTTTGGTTTAGGTGATTTTGGTTTGGTTTCATACATTCCTAACCAGCCAAACCAAACTAACCAGATAAATAATTAGTCATATATCTAATATATACACATACTTAATACTTTGAATAATCAACCAAGAGTTAAACATTCATCCCTTTTAGACTCATAAAATATAAAGTTTGATATTATTCCTATAATGTATATTTGTACATGTAGAGTGTAGACCACAAACTATGAACGCCTAGTTTAGATGAATCTCATACATTATGTTGGATGAAAACTTGAAAGTAAGGTCCTTTTCAACCTATGAAAATTGCTAAAAGACTAAGTCAATTCAAACAAATACAACAATTCATTAACCCATACCATTGTGATAAATTTTTGTTAGGTGAATACTTCTATACTAACCGTAAGATAATTGTCTTAGTTGCATGTATTTATGTTAAGGGTCAACTATAACTATGTGTTGATTGTTATGTTTTATTCATTATATAAATTGTGAATTGATAAATTAACCGAAAACTTTCTCGCTTAATGATAATGTGATTTTATATTGGTTAATCTGGTTAACTAATTAACCAAACCGATTAAACTTTAGTTTGGTTAATTTGGTTGTTGTATTAGTTTGGACGGTTTGGTTATGATATTGTATTCCATGGTTAATAAAATTTAGCCTTATTTGGTTTGGTAATAACCATGGTAACCATTTGAACACCCCTACTCCTCCTAGCCCCTTTTCTGATGTGAGAGACGGCGAATTTTTTGGTTTCTGCCCACGACGGGCACCGGTCGACTCGGTAGTCGGTCCAGATAGATATATGATAGGAATGTAATCGAACAACCTCGTATGGTATTTTTCTACTTTAATGTGAAATTGTATTTTTGTCTTTGCAGATCAAATGAATCTCCTTCGGTAGCAGTGAAAATATGGTAAAGAGCAAGTTTCTAATTATCATCCTGATGATTTTACACTTATTGGTATTTCAAGACCATTTTGAGCATGAGCATGATTTTACATATTGTTAGTCCATAGTGCTATGTATAGATGTAGGTTCTTATCTAAACATTCCTGGAAAATTCTTAGCTCCAACCTTGGTTGGACGCAGAAGCTCCAAACAGCCACTTGTCAGTTTGTTATTGGTGATCGATTGGAGCTAAGAATTTTCCAGCATTCCTAGTATCATAGTTGGTAAATGACTTTAATTAGTAGTCCATGTATAGTTTCTATTGATAGAGCGAACAATTTGTACGAAATTATATATATTCTATCAGTGCTTTTATCAAAAGGGCTAGTTTATATTTTCGTTTATACCATCTTTTTATTAATTAATACTTTATAAATAAGGAGGATAAGATGAACTAGCAAAAGAACCCACAAAGATTAACAGTTCTGACAACAATGATGTATTCTCGTCACTATCTATTAAGGATGAACACTGATCGTTTGTCGTAGAGAAAAAGATTGCGACGGAAAGTTCGTCGCTGAAGGTCACCATTTCTTGCCACGGTACCATTTATCTCGAAATGTGTTGTACACTATACTATCAGCCAGGGGGCTGCATCATTAGCAAAGGATGAGTTATATTCGTCGCATAAGCGTTTTACAATGAGGTATATGCGACGGCTGGGAAATTAAAAGTCATTGGCAACGATAAGTGGATAAATTACTCGTAGAACCTCTTGGCTCTTAGCAACAGATTTGTGTCCTTTTAGCGACGAGTGAGCCCGTCGCTAAAAAGTTATGTTTCTTTGTACCCTTGAACTTTCTTCTCATTTTCTTTAATACATGTCTCACCATTATTTAAAAGAAAAAAAAAAAAAAAACATTCACATTGAAACAAGAATAAATGGCTTTGTATGATCGACGAATAAATGGCTTTGTCACTATAAAAAAAGGAAAGACAATAAATGGCTTTGTCTCTTCCGCTGAATCCATACATAAACCCTCAGTAAGTAACATCAAAATTCAAACAAAAGGCTAATTCACTAGTGTACTACCACTACCATATCACTACTACCGTGCAAATATATGTATTTCATCGGACTGAACATCACTCAAACGCCCACTGGTTCTCCCTCCGAATCGCTTCTTCCTCCTCCTTGGTGAAATCGTTCTCGATATTGAAGTAGTTCCTTATCTCCTCCGGCGTCTTCCCCTTGATCAGGTCGGCCACAGTTTGGCAGATCAAATCCAGCAGATCCTTGACGTTCAAGTAATTCGCCGCCAGAAGCAGATCGTACAGGGTGTCCTGGCCCACCTTGGCGAATTCCGCGTCCCATTTCTTCAATTCGGCGGCGTCGGATCCAGGAGGCTGCTGGTGGTGCTTGTTGCAGAACTCGATCACTTTCGCCAGAATCCCGCCGGTGACGTTGGGGATCGGGATGCCGTCGCCCGCGCAGCCGTCCTCGATCATGTGCTTGATCGTCTGCGACTGCATCGCCACCGCTTCCTCCACATCGAAGGACTCGCCGTCGCCGCTCTTCAGAGTGATCAACTTCTTCTTCTCCGCCGCCGCCTCCGCTGTCGACATTGTTACCGCAATTGGATTGACTTCTCCGAGGTATATCTTCTCTAGAAAGCGAGAGCTACTGATTGGTGGATGAAGATCTGAGAATCTGTACGTGCCTGGAGGCTGGAGCTGCTTATTTATAGGGAAGAGAGAGGCGACTTAAATTTAGGATGAACAAAGGGTTTTATTTTTAACGCACAGGAAAAGGAATTCTTTTACGACTAGCTTTTTACCCGACCCGTTAGTCGAATGAATTTAGTTTTATTTATTATATTTTTATATTAATCTATTTTTTCATATTTTCAAATAATTTGGGATCGTCTAAATAATTTATTAGTGGGTTGAAACTAATATTTGTGCGAATTATTGATTGTAACATTAGTTAGTTTATAAGTATTTGTATTGATCATGCTATCGCTTACTGTTGTCTATATATTTTTTACATCTAAGAAAAAAAAATCACTTCCTATTGTTAGAATAAATTACTTAAAAAATATTTCTTCATAAAATTTGATATTATTCACTTATTTTTCTATTATATCCATGAAAATAAAATAATTAAGCATTGAAGTATTAATTATAAACTCCAAGGGATTTTCCCTATTAGTAATTTGGAGGGATAAAAATTTATCAAATAAAGGATTCAAATTTTATGGTCGACAACCATTAGGTACTAATTGAGAAAATACAAAATTATTAACTAATAATTAACTTTTAAATAATATATATCTCCAAAAGCAGTTGTGGTTGTTAATAGCTAACATTAATGTATACGGATAGTACAATTGTATTATAATGGACATATCTGAAATATTCCAATTATTTCTTCAAAATTTTAATTAAATAAGGCACTCTATAGTTCAAACATACAATCATTTGTTGTGAAAATTAAGTTTCTGAAAAAGATTCATGATTTTCGGAAATCAATATGGATTTTTTATAATTTATTTTGGTATTGCCTTTGATATCTAAAAGTCAACACTTATAGATTTGTCTACTATGTCATTTGAAAGATTCTAAAAATTTATAACAAATATGTACCACCAACAAATAAAAACTTTTTTGTCAAAAATTTGTGTGCCCATAAATTTGTTCTTAGCTTTGTGCTCGGCTTTTAGCTCGATAGTATAACATATGCTAAATTTACGACAGTCCTTGTGTCTGCCACCTATTTCATAGCATATTAGGTTTCGAGTATCCACAAATATTAGTACGCTTTCAACAATTATGTTTATAGTTACACGTATACTAACATTATGAAGTGAAAATTTAAAACAATAAATAACTATAATAAAGAAAAATAATTAAAAAGAATACCATCCGTAAAGCTCAAGAATTATTAGTGAATTAGTTGGTAATCTATTATCCTCTTGCAAAAAAATGGACAATTACATTATGCTCATCGCTATTTTTGGAAGGTCAGATGATCAACAATAAAAGTCGGGGAATTTCAAGAAGATTCCCAAAGATGTTTCCCTCCCTCCAGGCAAATGATCGACTTTGCTTTTGCTAGTAGAGAATGGAGCTGTTATACCTGCATAAAACAATGTCTCTTGAAATAGTGTTTATTTTCAACAACTTGCACAATTCCAAATTGATTCATAGGTCAACGCGATCACATATTTTATTGACTTATCTGTTGATCATTATAATTAGAAGCAACAAATAAAATGAAAAGCATAGTGATAAAGATGACTATTAATACCATAGACCGATAGACGCATCCCTCTTCGCTACTTTCTGTTGGCAACTACGGAAAAATAGAAACCTCTGGGCCTTCGAGAGACTATTGGCGCCGACAATCCAGTTAGCCTACCAAATCCGGCAAATGCGAGTGCAGATTGATCAATCTTCCAGGAGGATTGGGCAGGTTCTAGGGGAGGCTACAGAGCGGGTGGAAAGGGGAAATAGAATAGAGTTTGGGATTTTCACAAAAAGGCTACAATTTCCCCTTTATTAGTTGTTCTGGGCGTCGCCCACCAAAGTGAAAACGCGTCTCCGAGTGCCCAGGTGCCTAGATCAATCGCCCAGAGCTAGACTGGGCGATTTCCTCCTGCCCAGCTATTAATCGCGCCTAGGCGAGAGATTAATCGCGTCTTCTTGAACACTGAATAAAAGTGGACCAAACAAAGACATTACATCCAACTCATTTCAGTTCCATCTTAACACAGTATCGGAGGCATGTACTATTATTATACAAATGATCTTACGCTCTCAATTAGGAACTAAACGAAGGTTAAATGCTTGATTGGCAAACTAAATCGATGAACCTAGTGATCTTAAAGAAAAAATTAATGATCACATGATTTCTTGGACCAAACTACTAAAGGAAAAAAAGAAAAAAGAGATCGTACATTAGCATAAGAACTCAACAAATTACTTATAAGA